CCTCCTCAACCCTCCCCCCACCTCTGCTTCTTGGGATACCCGCGGATTTGTTGTTTCGCACCATTTAAAATTAAATCAGCCGTTGTCCTCTATCACCCTGTGCTCTAACTTTGCTGGCAGAGAGCCAGAGTGCAAAAAGGTGGGAAACTCAGAAATGTCGGGAGAACAAGGGTAAAAGCTGAAAAATCGCTGTCTCAGATTCGGGAAGGATCCCATTCAGGTTCTATACAGTAACTCTGCTGAGTAGATGTTTACTGGACAAAGTTGAAACAGTAAAAACGCTCTAGACATGCTTGTTTGCAGATTCTGCCTTATATCTGGTGGTCGTTGCATAATTCATGAAAACAAAGGGATTTTTCAGGAATCCCACAACTCTCCCTGTCAGTGACAAACGCCTTGACAGCTAACTCAGAATAGCTTACTGGTATCCCAAAATTGATTCGAATGACAGTTAAATTGTGTACGTAGTACAGTACGAGTGAGGCTATACTACAAAACGCCTACAGTACGCCCTTTTATTTCATAGCGACCAGTGCCTAAATACCCTCATTTACTTGGTACTCTACCGTAGCGAGTCCACTGTAGAAAATATGGCAAAACTTAGATTTCGCAGTTTCAAAATGCTATTTCACTAGCTTTTAGGAACTCTTTGAAATCAAGTGGGGTCACTACAGTAACCAGAAGTGACCTACTTTTGCATATTTCTCCACTGCATTACAGTACATTACTTGTTTTGTAACAACGGTACGAAAGCTGATCTGTAGATCCCCATTGATAGGAAGTAGTAACCGCGTTGTTGTAACTAAGCAACTAGTGCTCACAGGTCGACCTCAGAGCGTCTAGTCTGACCTCAGTTGAACGCTGAGGTGTACGATCCCCATTAGTCACTCAAGCGGCTCAGCCGGGCTTTAAAGTGAGCGATTGACCTGCCGCTTAAATTCAACCGTTGAGGAAAACACTCGGTGAAAACGAAGAAGGAAAAGCTCAAACTCAAGCGGAGGGGTTCCCTAAAAGGGTGATTTGACTTTTTTTTGGTTAATTTCCGCTTTGAATGGGATTATTTAGTCTGTTCAACCATTAGGCTTATGAAGTAGTGAGTGAAAAAAGGGCGAGGCAATGCGGACTCCCAGGCCAATTACGAGTTGTTGTTTCTCCTTTTAGTAATGATAGCGTAGCAATAATAGTAATCAGCGAAGCGGAAAGTTCAATTTCTAAAGCTCTTCACGTGGAGAAGTAGTTTTAAAGGTTAGTAAAGCTGTTAAACACTATAATTACAAGGTAAATAGCAGTAGATTAGTTTTTACTGAACATTGCAGGCTATTACCTTCATTTCCAACTAGTAACATACGTTTAAGTTCAGCTCTTTAATAATCCTTATTGGATAAACTTTTACTTCTTAATATATGTAAGTAGTTCCAGACATCATAGTGCTTTTTTGGGCTGATGTATGATGTGTTGCGAATCCCGTCAGACCAAAGTACACGTTCACCAAGAGCACAAAAACCATGGGGCTTGCATTTCATGCTCTTAGTGACCGTAGCCGCGTCCCCTAGTGTATTATGAGGGTAGGGAATATGAGCACGAGTATGAGCATGAGTTTCGTGGCAGAGGGATCGAAGAGGTCGTCTTTCGAGGTTGTGGGAGATGGTGGGCGGTGCTTAGAGCAACCCTCACTGTAAAGCCGCGGGCTTCCGGGCAAGCGCGCGCCAGTCTGTATCGATCCTACCCCTGAGGACAGAAGCACCCTCCTGACCCTATTAAATCCATTTAAAAAGCACAAATTCCCGGTCCCGAGTTCCACTTATTCGCTTTACCCATAATTTCAAGGGGTTCGACTGATCAGTACAGGCGAGAATGGTGGAAATTGCTGAGATGCCATCCATAATTGTTGACGAACCGTCCAATTGTCCTCAATGCCCGAAAACGTTCGCCAACGTACGGCTACTGCAGCAACATCAGCAAATGTTCCACTCGGACAAGGTAAGCTATTACTCTTACAGTTACTTACAGCTATACCATTACTTTATTACTACTTTCCTACACGATTGCACTTATTAACACATGTGTATGGATGTGTTTATCCGTCTGTATGCCCCTGTTCTATGAAATCCATTTACTGCTTCCGATTTCACAAGCGGCACACAGACACACACAAATTGCCGTACTTTGTGCTTCTATAAATCATCACGTCTCATTTCATTCTGAATGCACAACACACAAAATTGTGCATTATTGCGTCTTTTCATCTCTGAACATATATAACGTCACTTCTCATATCGTTTTCGTTTTTTTTTTTGCCATGTCCTAAGCTATATATGGTGAGATTGCCATATTGTACTATTCGTACCATTGCGTTCCTCATCTCCATTCAATCCCCTTCTTAAACCCTATTATTGTTTACAATGCCACCTGACCTTAAGTCGACAGTACAGCCTGTGGCAAGCCAGCTGTCACTGAACAGATGCTCGGCTCTCGGAACGCCTGCATAATTTGACGGCAGCGCACTGTTCATCGGCCGTATACATGGCACGTCCTGTGTCTTGCCGGTGGTAGAGGAACCTTAGATTCGAATTTGAATTTTACTGCTGCAGCTGGGAGTTTTTTGAACTTTGTTACTGTATCGCTACCATAACTGGCTCGCTGCTTACTCACCACCATCTTTCGCAATCTCTAACTGGTTAACTGCCCGAAACCTTACTAGTGGTAAACATGGTATGTCGTTAGTGATGCAGGGCGTAGTGGGCGAATCGAATCGAATTCAACTTGACGGCATTGCTCTCCCTGGTTGTCGAGTCAGTCATTACAATAGCCGCGGCTCTAGGTTTAACAGCGTGACAGACCGACCGAGAGAAACAACGATACGAACAGCTGCTTATCCATCCCCACCACCATCACCGCCACCACCTCCTATTCTCGGGCAAACAGGCTCGCCCCCCCAACTATCTGTCGAGAAGTCGCACACGTCTCACGAAGATGAGTCGTCGAACAGTCAGTCTTGTGCCGAAGCACAGCTGTGCTTACGTACGTACGGCGGCAGCGGTAAATGTGGGTTGGGGGCACTGAAGAGGGATGGTGGGGACGGGACGGTGAGGTGAGAAAAGAGCCGGGCCGATAACGGGCGTATTATCGGTAGCACCTCTCCCCTCTACCACCACCGTACTTCCGATAATTGCAAGCCGACTGGCCATCTGTCAGTTCGCGTCGCCGCGCATGTAAAATTGATCCCGACGCGCGTCGTCGAGAGGGCAAATGCAGGATGAGGAGAGACAGGGTGAAGAGAATCATGGTACAGCAAAATAAAACCCAACCCACCACCAAACCTCGTTGATGGTCTCCCACACACACTCTCTCTGCCCCCCTCTTAGATCCCCTCATCTCAATCGGAAGCGCGATGATCATGAGGCGCATGAGCGATTACGGTATTACACAAGCTCGTCCGTTCGTCGATTGGCTTGTACACGCCCAACGAATGTACACAAATACATGGTGACACATACACATGTGCATGTGCACTCACTCACATATACACACCCACTGCAGAAGTCTGCAATTTCGCGTCTTCTGAACATGCGCTCGTTTCAGTCGTTCATTTGCGAAATATGCGGCAAAGCTTTTCGGTTTCGATCGAATCTGGCTGAACATCGATCTGTACATACAGCATTGAAACCATACGTTTGTAAGTACTGTGGGAAGAGCAGTCGACTGAAAGGTAGCTCTTTTGTACTGGTGATTATTACTGTTTACCTGTATGCAGAAGTTTAGGTAATCTTACGAAACATATTTTGAAACATCATAAGAAAGAGCAGAACGAACAAATCGGTAAAGATGATATTATCATTAAAAAAGTGAGTTCAAAGATCATTTTGTTGTTGTTGTTCGTGTTTGCCTAAATGAACGGCGGGACCTGTTCATTTCGCGACGGGACTCGTTTAGGGTAAAAAATCGGTTAAGGACCCAGCGGCTGTCGACTTTCTCGAGAAATCCATGATCGTGATGGCGCAAAATAACTCGTCCGATGGTACGACACCCTGTGCGATACCAAAGGAGGAACCGAACGATCAGGAAAGGTGAATAAACATNCCAAAATCGTGCATTTTTCATGGTCTTGTCCTTGTCTGTTTTGGTCGTTTTTTTTTATTTACTGTTATGTTTTTCTGTAATTTACTATTTAGAACAGTTTCCTGTACAATTTTGAGAAAGATTTCCTGTTAAGGTCCATATTGATATCACTTGGCCTTGACTACAGCCATTCGTTGGATCTCCGAGATAGCCCCGAGGCGAGCGCTAGTCCCGAAAACGGTAAGAGGCACTTTTCGACCATCTAGTGTTTTCCAAGTGCTACAGTAATCCGCTCCCAGCATTTCTGTTCCTACATGGCCTTCCAAACAGTCGATTTGGGCCGATTCTGGGCAGTTGTTTTCTCGAATAGTGGGTTGATTTTTGTGTAGGGCGGTAATCGTTAGGGAAGTGAGGGATCTGTGTATATGAGGGGAGGCGAGGCGAGATGAGAGAACGCCGAGCGAAGCCCTACGGGTAGCCGAATACACCATCCTCATGAGAAGGGACAGACAGACAGATCGAACCGGGCCCTATCCTCAGCAACACAGTAATCCCCTAGTTTCCACATAGGGCCGGACGTTTTCACTGAAGAATAACAAGTCTTACTCGGTTTTAGATGAGCTCATCAAGTCCAACTGTACTTACAAAAGGGGATACAGTGAGCCTTTGGACGGGATTTCCAGATAATAAAGCTATATGATTCATTAGTGTCTCTAAAGATTTCTTTTACCCTATAGGGCAGAGTTTTTAAATTTTTTTTTCACGGTTTGACAGTTTTTTTTTCAGGTACGTATAGTTCTGTGAAACCGGAATACATTGAAGACCAATCGTACGGTAGCCCGCTGCCAGCAAATACAGTAAGTGGACGAGTTGATTGTGGTGGAGTGCGTTTTTGCAGCGCGATATCGATCAATACTGAATGTGTATGTGTACTAGTTGAGAAATCATTCGTGTACATATGTATGTTTCAGGTTGGTGGCGAGACATCATTGGCTGCTCTAATCGCTTCAGTGGGCACGCCCCCTCATACTACAAACAACAAAACTCAGTGCTCCGAATGTGGGAAACATTTTCGTAAAAGTAAGTAATCCCGGAGTTACTATGCTGTTGTTTTTGGAAGCACTTGGGAATTTCATGTACAACACCTAGTGAGAGGTCTGGGATGTCCTTTGGCTCAGCTAGCACCTTTCCCAATGTGTTATTCCCTGTTATTCCCCGGGGCATATACGGTCAATACGTTCCCCATGTGAAATTTATTCCTGCATAGAAGACGTTCGAGTTATGCTATGGGGTGGGCGCGCGCGATGGCATACATATATATATTCAGGGGGGCCTGTCAATAGTCACGCTGCACGCTTCAGGGGTTATAGCCAGCTGCACTCGTGATCGTCGATCGTACACTGGCATATATTCATCCCATTCATTGAAATGACGCCAGAACAATCCCCTCCGCAGAGTTAGTTCCACCTTATGTTCGCTTGGGCTTGCTTCATTAGTCTCGATGCAGTTGCCAGTTCGGGATGGTTGTGGTCCCTGGTGGTGGTAGCGGTAACGACCATGTTGGCTGCAGTCGAGTGAGGGGATTGTGTGAGTGACAGGGCAGTCCGTCGGGAAGACAGTGGCGGTGGTGGTCGATAGATTCAAGCTGGCCGGCGTCAGATGATGGCGACGCGGCGGCGATGTATTCGATGGTCCGACCGGCCCACACCCCGGGGGACTCTGTCCAATACACGGACAGCTCGCGTTCGCGTATATATGTGTGTGTGTATGTATGCATGTGTGGTGTGTGTGTGTGTATGTGTGTGGGTGAGTGCGGCTGCGTTCGGCACCTTGGCATGGTCTCGCGGGACCCCGAGGCTGCATATTGATCGTACAACGAATGCAAGCCGCATGCAATACGTCGGTGTCAGTTTATACGACGACGACGACGACGACGGCGAAGACGACGAAGACGACGATATGTGAATGTGTTGGTGGGAGCACAGACACAGAACTCTTCCGCTAAGACCCCTGAGGGCTTTCCAAACATGTGCACATGAGAGGCCATAATATGCAGTAGACTACACATCAATACCTCCATGACTGCTACAGTACGTCCCAATAGGGGGGACCACCATATTCCGTTAATGCTGGAATCAACCTAACGGTAGGCGATGGATCCACATTTTGTAGGGCAAAAACCGTCTGAATGTGCTGAGAAGGCGCGGCGTCGGCTGCTGCTGCTGCTGCTGCTGCTGCTACCGCTGCTGTTCATATCATCCATACCAACATTACGGTGCTAGTGTAAAACAATTGAGCCAGGAAAATCTCCCCTTGCCGCTGACCGCAGCTGTTGGACGAGATAATCGTAACACAAATGCTCCGCTATGGATTCTTGTACGGCACATTGGAAGGGGATGGATGCTTACCGCCCGAGAACATCCCTGCCCATTCCGCCGCCCACTTCGGTGACTGTTTTTTTTTTTCGTGGGACAGGGATTTTCCTATGAGAATCAAAAGTTCGCGAAAATTAGATTGGTGGTGATTTCGGTGGTGAAGGGGAGAGGAGGGTGTTGGTTTGGGGGTATTTGGTGTATGCCGGCCGCTTGCGGCCGTTGCCATCTAGTGGGCTCCAAGAGGAATCTGCGAACCAACTATTCAATGGCGCGCAATTACTGAGAATGGTGCTCAAGCGTTATTGTGAGAGTCGAAGCAGCAAGCATTTGTTAGCAGCTTCCAGACCGGAATAGTCTCTCTATGGAGCTGGAGCCACCGATTTTCCAAGTACCACCACCGTCAATCCATAGGGGTTCTCCTGTGAAAGCTGTAGTAGTACTACGGCTGCTATCGAGTGAGGAAATCATCCTTTTCCTCAGATTAGAGGGGAGGATTACATGGTGACAATATCTGAAAGCAAATTAGTAAGCACTTCCAAGTACAACCGCGGCCAGCCACTAGTCGGCTTCTTTCCTCATGATGAAAAATATTCGCGACGAACTATTTGTCGATGTGGGGAGGAGGAGTCTTCCACCAAAATATGCTACTTCAACTCGTTCGTCCAAGGTGGCTTAATTGGGTGGTGCAGATCGATGAGGGGCAGCAAGCACGGGGGCCCAGGAGGACCGTACTCCGGAAGCGTCGCCATTAGCGGCCCTTATACAGCCGTTGCGCGGATAAGCAAATTGTAGAGACGGCGCGAGGGGGGAACAGCTGCTGAATCGAAATCAGCGCGACAGCCCCTAACGGACTGAGACTGACTGAGACTGACTGACTGACTGTTCCAGCCGACGACGCCGACGCCGCCATCGCCGCCTGCCTCCAAACGCAATCCGACAACAGTCCGCAAATACTCATTAAGCTAATGGAGATTGCACTAAGCCATCAGACTATGTACAAGCGTTTTGGCTTGACTGAGGATTACTAACGACTCAATTGGTTGGGTAGGATGTTGAAAGTGTGTTGTAACCGTTAGTAGTAATCGATCAACAGTCCTTCAGGGAACTTACTACTACATTTCTAAGGAGTATTGTGTGTGAAATGGAGCGCGCAAGTGAACAGCTATTACTGAATGGAAGAGAGAATCATGGGAGACGTGGGACAGCTAGTCGATTAGGGGCTGCCTGCTATTACGGCCGGGTACTATTACCATAGCGTGCACATGTATACGATATCCATGTGTGCACTAAAGGGACCCACAGCGTTATCGGGGAAGTTCTTCTTCGCCCACAGAACTTGTTATCAAACTAGTTAATCGTTAACTTTGTAATATGACTGGTAAATGAGTGAATCGGTGACTTCCGCGAGTAACGGGTGATATAGGTAGCATTCGGTCTTCTGCCTACCGTTTACTTCTTTAACTCATTTATCATGGGGATTTCGACTTTTTTCGACCTACAGGATCCTCCACTGCCTGACAACAGGTTTTCTGCGCCAAAGTAGTACCCTAAATGGCCATGTGGGCGCAACTTTTTGGCAGTTTAGAGTGCTTTGTGCCCATCCCTCAAAGACCAAGGGTTTAATCAAGATTTCCTGGAAGAGATGAGTAACTAAGCTGTTGTTGTGGCCGACGGAAGTGTACTTGCCAACACTGTCCACCCAAAAGTACACTTCATCAGTCCAGCTGACGACCGGCATATACGTCTGCTNAATGGTAGAGACCGCTCAATATCTTTCTGGGAGGCAAGGCGGCGAGGGACCATTTGGTAACGATTTTGTGCGATCGCGAAAACAGTATCCTTCCCTTACTTTGAAGTAAAAACTTCGATTTGAGTAGCTACCTTTCACAATGAGAGTAAGTTCTTAAGTAATGAGAATATCCTGTTTGGCATTGATTTTCAAATTCGAGAATGTCAAAGAAAAGCAAAACCCAAATAGGGAACTACCCCTGAGAAAGCGACCATTCTTACTGGTACAGCTCGAGTTAGTAGAAAGGTTTATGTTGAAATAATAGGCTGCTCAGGGACCATACAAATATGATGCAAGTGTTGTTGAGTTTTGACAGCGCTAGGAGTATTATCATAATGCCTATTATCATCCAAGGATAAGCCATGCACTTCTACTTTCCTAAAATTGACAACACAACTAGTTTTATGAGTGTACCTGGCCTCTCAGCGTTAACATGGGCTAATCTAAGCGCTTTTCCGTGAATGATTATAGAGGTCAACTTAGTTTCAAAAGCCGTGGTGAATCGAACTTAGCTGGTACTTTTACAGGGTTTTCTGGCACTTATTGCTCAGCCCTTGCGCCCTTCATGTTACCAGTAAAGTGACGAGTTTTAGGCTCTTCGTTACATGTTCATATGACATTGAATCATGGATTCCCACCACCGGAATCCACTGGATCATCAGAAGAGAAGACAAGCGAATGTGAAGCAACCGCTGATGAGAGCTGTCTACGAACCGAATTGCGAGCGATGCGAAGTCTCGTCTGTGATTTGAAGGCACAGATTGCTGACATGCGTCAATCGCAAACAGCCCCACGAACTGAGCAGGTACCTATCAAATTTCTTGAGAAGAACGAAGCTATGGCTTATACATTTGCAATGAAAGCCGTCAGTAGCCATTAGTTTTACAAACTCCGCTTTACTGGATGCCACTCTTATTGACTTGGCAATGGCAGCATCAGAGATCGCAGGAAAATAAGTCAATTAGTAGGGCTTCTTCTGTTCGTCTAAAGCAAGTGGGCAAATCGGAACGTTCCGATTTCCGCTTTCGCTAATGATCCCTTTCGAATTTTCTTAAACTCTCTCTCTTCTCGATCATATCTGCTAAATGTCCTTCCTAGCCAAGTTTCGTCGGTCGATGTAAATTTTGATGCTATATCTCTACCACTTTATATAACTTAACAATAGCTT